GTCGTTGCTAAGGTTAAGTACGCGGATCTGGACATTACGGACGCATCCGACGAACTGTAGTGGACGCACTACGGAACAGAGGAACACGAAGAACGAAGTACAAAGACGAACACTTCTTTAGTTAGCGTCTAGGCTAGCTAAGAGAAGAGACTAGTAAATAAAAAGTAGGGACGGCGACGTTCCGGCACAGGGATCAGCTTGAACCCTGTTGGCCAGTAGTGTGTTGACGTACGGTGACTCGACGAACCCGGGACACTCGCAGGAGGCACACACGCGAGTACGATCTGCTCCACGAAGCGGGCAAGATAAGAGGATTCGTTACACCACTGTTCCGTTCTGCAAACCGTAACGAGCGGATTCTCATGGTAACCACAAGAGTATAGAAGTAGTACTTTACTCAGTAATTTCGTCGAAGGATTTACATGTGCCATCAAGCAGAATTCTCAACGATGTTCGCGTAGAAATAAATAATTGAGCCAAAACTTAAATGATGGAATTAAGAATACTTAGAGACAAAAGAATTACAAAGCGACTCGTGTGGATTGCCAGATGCTTAGAATTCTCGACTTCAAGAGTTTAGATCGAGGGGTCGTCATCGTTCAGAGCCGAGAGGCGTATAATGTCTACAATCCAATTCCCTCAAAATTCTTGCTGTTCGCGTTATAAAACGCTTCATAACCACGCCAAATCCCCCCCATTCGGATCAGTCGATTTTTCCAGATGTAACATTTTCCAGATCTGTTTTGGCTGCGCTCCTTCCCACATCCATTGACTAAACAGCGCAACTTGCAAGTCCTTGGCGAACTCCTCTGTACTCTCCACTTTTTCGCTGCCTCGATCACCTTTGCCACCGCTTCGTCTCCGTAAAAAGTCACGAAGGTATTGACCAATGTTGTTTCTCTCCCAGGGCTGTACTTGTTGAATAAGTTCATATAGGTGACATAAGTTTCCAGGTTCGGGTTGGTAAGAAGATTCTCGATCTTCTTGTCTAGCTTCAAGACCATGAAAATATCATCTGCAGTTTTCCCAGACCTCATCCATATCTTCACCTACCTCCTTTGTAATCTCGTTGCGATCTTTTCCGTTTCCGGGGTTTTCCTTGTCGCTTCGAGCATTTTTATCAGAGCTGTATCGCTGTATCCAGCTGTCAATGTGGACAACATTACCGTTGTCGTTTTTTTCTTGGCCACCACGGTTACGTAATGAACCCACTTTAGGAATTGTGGGCTCTTGAAAAGGTCATCTCCTGCCTGATCAAGCTTTAACATTGTGAAGGCGGTGTCCGGAATGGCTGTTGTCCTCAATGATGCCACATCGATATTGTTCAATGCCCCCAACGTAACCGATTTCGCGCTCTGAGCGGAAAGGTTAATCATTCTGTCTTCATTGGATCGCATTTCTGTTCGCAGCTTCCTCCCAGTATAGATGATACTCTGATCGCTGGATGCTGCCGCAGACATGACGAGGAGACAAGCAAGAACTACCAGTGCCTCAAGTTGCTGAAAACACATGGTGATTCAACACTTACTCTGTAGCTTTGGCTTCTTGGGGCGGTTGGTGAAGTGAGCTTCAGTTTGAAGCATACTTGTACGTGTTTGATGGCAAATAAATAATGACATCAACAAGGCATTAGCAATATACGGTGTTTGCAAGCTGATTCTTGAAGTTACAATGTTTACGTGACACTATGAGTCACGATTTAGGGTGAGTAAACTACACGTCAAAATATACTTCGAAACATTCTTATGGTAAAGTTTCGAGGGTTACCCGAGCTTCCGAAATGAAGCTTACTTACATGTATTTGCCCAAATTTATCCGGTTCTTATCGCTAGCGGTGCAGCACCTACCGGTACTAGTTGTAGAAATATTACATGTATATGTATCCAAGTGATTACTTCATGTAAAAGCTTTAACCTTGTTTTGCTTTCTTTTTCCACCCGACAATGGAGATGGCGGACTCTGTCGTTGCTGCATGCGGAACAGCTGCATACAAACCTACCGCAGTGCCTTACTAGGCAGGGCATGGAGAAAATAATATAATATCAATAGCATTGATATTATATTTATTTAATAATCTATTATTGCCTTTTTCTGTTTTCAATACGATGACGTCGCGTCAGCTGTGCTCCTTCTTCTACTCCGATCTTGGTGAAGGACTTTTCCAGTGCAAAACGTGTGGATGTAAGCGTAAACAAGCCAGCGGCAGTGGCTACAGCAATCTCCTAGGTCACATAGGTGCCAAGCATGCTGACTACGCGAGCGAGTACGCTGAACTCCAAGCCGCTACCACCACCCCAACCATCGACATGTTCGGGTTTGTGGACGAGATCACCCTCAATATCTACCAATGGATGCGCTGGATTATTCAGCGGAATTTGCCCATCACAGCAGTAGAGAACAAGCTGACTCGTGAGGTCGTGACTATGACGCGTACAACAGTAAGGACGATGAAAACATACATGCGTTTTACCGCTGCCAAGGTTGGGCGAGGGTGAAATGGACGAGTCCTTTGCCTTGATGTACGATGGCTGGACATGCCATTCCCTTCATTTTCTGGGCATTTTTGCGGTCTATGGAGTGAACGGAGTGCGAAACCAGCGGCTCCTGTCACTCTCCCCGATGGATAATAGCCAAACAGCTAGTGCTCACCTTGAGCACATGGAATCGGTTTTGATGCTGTACAACAAGGACCTGAGCATGGTAAGCTTCCTTATAGGAGACAATTGTTCGACCAATCAGTGTTTAGCAGCAATGCTCAAGATTCCTCTGATTGACTGTGCTAGCCATCGATTTAATCTTGCGGTTAATCGGTTTCTGGAGGGGTATCAGACTCAGGTTGACATGATTTAAAATCAGATGATTCAACTACGTCACACCAACAATGTTGCTGCGCTATCCCGAGTAACCCACCTGAAGCCTATCAAGGCTAATGTGACGCGATGGTCATCTACATACCAAATGCTACAGCGGTACATGAAGATACGCGATGCAATTCTTACCGTCAGTGCTGTGGAGGAGCTCGTTCCGCGAGGGAACGGCCACCGGCGCATTGCTGCGGTGACCGATAAGCTCGTAGAGCTTGACAGTGTTTGTGTCAAGTTGCAGGCAGAGGAACGTTCTATGGCGGAGGTGCGTCTGTTGTTTGACGCCTGTATGGTAAAGTACCCAGAGATGAGTGAGTATTTGCAACTGGCTGCCCAGATCGTTCACTCCCCCCTCTTTGAGCCTGCTATAGTGAAAGTCCAGAACGATCTCCCGCTTTCATCTCCCGAGCAACAAGAAATCGAGGCGTTCGTGCTTCCTACAAATGAATCAAGTCCTGCAGTGCGTCCTCGAGTTGATTTTGCCTCAACCGTTCTCCGGCAGGCAAAGAAACGTCGACGCTCCGAGCATGTTGTCGCTAAGTACGACCCTTTTTGGCATGAAGTCCCTCCAACAAGTAACGCATGCGAGCGTCTATTTTCGGGGTGTAAGCTGGTCTTGACCTCTCTGCGTGCATCAACCCTGACTGCAAACTTTGAGGTAATGATGCTTTTGAGGGCTAATATGAAGCTTTGGAACAGCGCAACTCTTCTCGGTTGCATTGAGGATGACGAGGAAGGGCATCTTTAGAGTTTTGTATTTGGCCAATACATTGAAATGCTTGCATTAACTATTATTGTGTCCTTGTATATTGCAGTAATTATTACGGACCTCTAGAACAAGCAGTACATTGATAATTGTATTTGCTAGGCCCTGTTACTAGGCACCTAAGAAATTCCACATCCTCCTCGTTTTCCTGGCTCGAAAGCAGCGCTTCAAAGTACCTGTACCCCCCCCCCCCCCGCTTCCTCAATTGAGAATAGCGAATGAAGCTTGGTAGTGAAGTGAGTGTTGGAATGTAAATCCGAAAGTGAGATTGATTTAGTATGTTCGGAGTTAGCAACTCCTTCTCTCCTACACACGCATTGCTCTTCCTACCTTCACTACAGAGCACTTGAAAAAGTATGCAAATCATACATGTCCTGTCAATTTGTAACGGGAACGCGATTTGTAACGGGAACGCTGATTGTAACGGAAACGTTTTCACCATCCAGCTTCAACTTCTTGTCCAATCACAGTTCAGGATATCGAATGATCTGCCAATCAGATTTCAGCATTCGTGTACCTTCAGTACTTGACCACCTAAGCCACATGCCTGGCATGCGCAGCACGCACACGACGTGCGTCTTGTAGCAAGGTCCAAGTCAGGCAGACGACGAAGTGCAATCTCAACACCTCGCGTGCTTCACCTTCCGATGATGGTCATCATAATCAGCATAATGTTCAGACAGGAAAATGTCGCCTCCGGCTGTGGCGAAGTATACGCTACTTTTCGGTTTCCATTTCCATTTATTGACGTGTAAATGATTGATCTTTAGGTACTTCCTATCGCCTTAGTCTACTCGACCTATTTACCTGCATGATGGTAAGCTACGTCAGTTAGACCTTGCGACGTGGGGTTTCCGTTCTGCTGTTTGGCGTTAGACGACTGGCACAAATGTACTACCCTGTAATCGGCAACAGCCTCAGTCGATCTCTCGGCTTTGCATGTTCGTTTGCCAAGTGAATATGGCTGTCTAGAGATGTAATTTCTTCACCATACAAAGGTGGTTATAATTTCCTCCTATACTAAATTTCCTCTACACACATAGAATTACCCAGGTGAATGTTGCTTGTGTCGGCCAGGAGCAACATTCATAACCCAATAACCCAGTGAATGTTACCCCAACCAATTAGGGCTAAATAAAAAAATTGATTGACTCTCTGGGTTTTTCAAGAATGATCAAATACCCCCCCCCTTCCCCGTATTTTGCATGAATGCTTGGGGCTTTGGGTACCACTGAGTGGGTTACCATCTCCGGAAGGTAAAAACAAACGTCGTAGATCCTAAAAAAAAAAGCGAAATTCAAAATTTGGGGCTCGTTCGCGATCTCATCGAGAGTTCGCTGTTCTGTTCTCAAAGCGTAAGATTAAGAAACATAACATATACGTATTACACTTCATTCGTATATGTAGATGTAACCACCCTCTCCGACCAGTTCAAGACTATTCTAGCTTAATAATCTACTCTATCGATTGATGAAGTAGGCTTAAAGCACGTCTAATTAAACGTTTGTAGGCCAATTAGCGTATACGTATAACTATTTTTAAATAAGCTCATAATTAATGTAATTATGTTTACATTAAACTGGAGCTAAAGCACAGATATATTAAGTGTGCTGGTGCATCACTAGATTTTACGTTCAGTTATATAGGTTTTGTACATGGGTAAATTGTGATGTTGGTGCAATACTACTTTGGACTTCGACCGTGAGTAGTGACCATGCAATCGTCCTACTGGAAATTCTAACACCTGATTTAAACTGTGGTGCTGGC